AGAGAGAGAGAGGAGAGAGAGAGAGAGAGGGGGGGGGGGGGGGGGGGGGGGGCGGCTCCGGCAGAGAGGCACCCAAGCACGAGACTTATGGGAATGGCATGATGCAACACGTGGAGATAGGAACATGCAATATGCATCGAGGCAGAAATTCAATATCAAGAACGGCCTTCGTTAACAAGCGTTGGATCATACACCCATCGTGTTCGTCAATGCGGTTATTAACCGTTTCATTGACCGGAACGCCGGCGCATGGCGGGTCTATGCCGGCCGTTGTCGCTCGTGTGCGTGTTTCGCTGCACCGGTCCGCAGATGACGATGTCGTTCCACTGACCTGGGCTCGTAGATGCGCCAGTGTTTCTTGCCCTCCAGCTGCAGTATGAAGGCCTCGATGTCGTCGTAGTGGGGGGCGAACCCCTGCGTTCCTGGCGGCGTCAGGTACCTGGCGGCATCCTACAGGTCATAAGTGTCGCCTGGCCCTGAGCTTTGGTCACCTGGCCAAGGCAGTCACACCAGTGTTTCACCACCAGCCCGCACCCTTCGCTATCCAGCTCAGGTGAATCTAGCCAGGCGGAGCCATGGGCGCGCCCTCCTCGCGGCGCTATCGGCTCTGACGGACGGAGGCCGGACGGCGGGCGGCCCGCGCTGGATCCGGTCCCGCCCGCCCCGCCGGGCCGATGCACAGCCGCCGGCGGGGTCCCTGCACGTTCTCCCTGAACGTGCGCAGACTCCGAGATCCCAACGTCGGGTAGGAACTGATTGCACGCTCTTCCTTGCCCCCTCCCCCGCCCCAACCCCACCCAGATGATCCACTTCCTCCTCGTTCCACCTCCTCAACATTCCACTCCTCCACATCCCACCCCTCCACGTCCCACTTTCTCCACATCCAACCTCCTCCAAGTCCCACCTCCTGCAAGTCCTACCTCCTCCACGCCCCACCTCCTCCGACCTCCACCCGGCGGGGCGCGGTGCTCACACGTTGGCGCCGACCATGCAGCCGAAGTACTCCTGCAGCGCGGCGCACAGCCGCCAGACGGCGCCGCTGTAGGTCTGCGGGTTGAGCAGGCGCACCGAGCAGCCGTTGCGGTAGTAGTCCCAGACGACGGCCGCGTGCGCCCGGCCGCTCGGGTTGTGCGTCTCGCGCACACCCTCGCTGTACGACGTCACATCCAGGTTGCGGCCAAACTGGAGGTTGTCCTGCCGCAGAGGTGGGCGGGTCGGCGCGGGGCGCGGTGACGTCACGCCGGTCGGCGCGGGGCACGGTGACGTCACGCCGGTCGGCGCGGGGCGCGGTGACGTCACACCGGTCGGCGCGGGGCGCGGTGACGTCACGCCGACCCCGGGCGGGTGAAAATGACGGCGTGTTTACAGGGGTGCGGACAGCTGAGTTGCACGGTCCGGAGAGGAACAGGGAGGGGGGCATTCCATCCCTTATAGAATGGAACGCGTAGGAAAGAAGGGAGAGGAGCAGTACGCAGTCCAAGATGCTTAACCATATGTTGCGGTTCTTACGACGAATGCATTCCAAACAACGACAAAAAACAACCTCCATGGTATAAATGAGAACAGGGATTCGCTCGGAACACGGACCACACAGAAATTATACGAGCCTAACTATTTTGTAATCCTTACACATCTGATGTCCCAAGGCAGGGCCCACAAACTGTTAACAAGCAGAACACACAGGCGATAGTCCGGGCGAACCCCACCGTCACACAGCCGGCATCGACGCCCTCTCCGGGCCTCGGTCGCCGCTCACGTGTCGGAGGATGCGGTCCAGCTCGGCCGTGGAGAACACCGCGGCGTAGTAGTCGGCGGCGGCGCGCTGCACCAGCAGCGGCTTGCGCTCCCAGAACGTGTCGAAGAAGGGCCGCGTCTCGGTGGGTGCGAGCATCCAGCGGAGGGCGGCCGCGGCCGCGGCGCCGCTGTCCTCCGCGGGCGACGCAGAGGGCGCGCCGGTCGCCGCCGGTCGAGTCGCCGCTGAAACACACCGATAACAACACCCTCGGTTGCCTGGCGAAGCATGTGTCTGCTTCAGCCATCGCCGTCGGGACCCCTTACCGTAAGCAGCGGGAGCACGGCAACACAGCTGGAAGTCCAGGTCTCAAACCTACGGCCCAGAGGCTGTCAATTAATCACGCTCTATATGTTAATAAATTATACATGTGAGTTAATCACGCCGGGCTCGCGCCGGAGCGGCCGCCGACCAAGCGAGCAGGCACGGCAGCGGCGGCCGACTCCCGGACAAGCGCGACCTCAGCGGGTCTGGGGGGAGGGGGGAGGGAGACAGACGGTCCCGGCCGCCGACAGCAAGGCAACTCGGTCCGACTACCCGCTATGGGTGATGTACGGACCGAGCGGACCGAGCCAGCAGCCACCAGTGCGGCTCAGAGTTCAGCTGCCGAGCTCCAAACATGGCGCAGAGATAGCACCCCGCTAGCAGACAGACACTGTAAGTGCTGGTGGGTCCGGTGACCCGCGCCGCGAGTGCAGCCTAACTGGGCCTGCTGCGTGACAGAGCCCAGACGGCCCGCACGGCTGCCTGCATGGCGGGAAAACACCGGCTGGATGTTTACATGTGACCAGAGCGCCGGCCACGCCATGCTGACATGGCGGTCCGCCAGGGGCAGTGACGGCAACGCCAGCTTTCGTCAGCCTTTGTGCAGGCATTGCGAACAGTTCGGGCAAAGGCAGTGTCCAAAGACGGAACCGTGTGCTGATGGTGCACCACTTACGGCGCATGCAATGCACGGACACTTCCCAGGGAAAGTTGGCTGCAAAGTCATGCCGATCGAACCCCGCGGCAGGGCGCCTCTGGCCAGGGGAGCTCACCGACATGAAGCCGGGATCTCATCAAAAACGTCACATCGCCTGAAGTCTAATTGCTGAAGCACGAGGGTGATAAAAACGCGTGCGTGGAGAGACCCGTCCTCCACGCGCATGGTGAAAAATGCGCGCACAATACGGTTTTATTATAGCAATGATCTTCGTCCTATCATTCCATCACCAACATACTGCACAGCTTTAAACATCTGTTGTAGAGATCTGGGTAACTAGAGGCATGACAAGCACAACATATGTGACGTTCGCATCACCCCAATACGTACGTCAGGTGCGTCCCCTCTTACGGCCATTAGGCCGCTGCGATCACAGCAGGCAGGTCGGTGCGCTCGCCTCGCGCAATGACGCTGCTAAAGCTTCACTACAGACTTAGTCACGGTGGTCGTGGTCGCGTGTAGGTTTACATGATGTTCGCGGTTCGAGGTGGGACCAGGGCTCCGATCTCGAACGTGTTATAAATACGCGTCACATTCTGGCAACTCAAAACCAGGCAATTATAAGCTGCGGCGAAGGTGACATCGTCGTTGTATTGGTTGGCAACGAACATCACGAAAACAGCATTTGCGCCTTCACGCAGCGGGAGACTTAAGAACGCGAATGTACTTTTATGAGGACCGGTGCCTCCACAGAATTTACTTTTATGAGGACCCGTGCCTCCACAGAATTTACTTTTATGAGGACCCGTGCCTCCACAGAATTTACTTTTATGAGGATCGGTGCCTCCACAGAATTTACTTTTATGAGGACCGGTGCCTCCACAGAATTTACTTTTATGAGGGCCGGTGCCTCCACAAAATTTACTTTTATGAGGACCGGTGCCTCCGCACGGGTTTACTTTTATGAGAACCGGTGCCTCCGCACGAGTTTACTTTTATGAGGACCGGTGCCACCACGTGACTTACTTTTATGAGAACCGGTGCCTCCGCACGAGTTTACTTTTATGAGGACTGGTGTCTCCACGAACGTATCAAACAAACCACTGCTTCAGTATACCATCCCATTCTACGTGTGGCAACCACGCGTTATAATTTTGGCATCAAATAAGAAAAAGAGCACGATTTCCGACTAAAGGACTTTTGGAAGAACGTGACCGTACCCAACGCACCACAATGTGCAAATGATCAACTCGATGCACGATTTCATCGATTATTTCGGACTTCCTTCCCAACAATTATCTTTAAGAACAGCCGTCTAAGTAGGGCGTGAGGTAGTGCTGAAACGAAATGAGACGCTCTGAACTATGTGATACTGCCAGATCATGATACACAAAACAGCAAAGCAACAAAACGATTTCTTTGCTTCAAAGCGTTGTAATCCGTCCACCTTCATGCATCACATATCCCCCCCCCCCGCGATCGCTTTTGGCCGATTCAGCATTGTTTCAATACATGGCATGGACATGCGTCATGAACTAGCCACAGATGGCAGACACAGTATGAGCCATGCCGGCAAATGCTCGAAGCTCTAACCATAGACAATGCGCAGGAGAAGACATGATTAGCCGGGCAACACCCAACCGCGCTGATGAACACGGAAACGGATTTCCACATTCAGCCAGCTGAAATAACACCCGCGGGACTTCACACCACAGTCTACAGCCCCGTGCCGCCCGCACACGCCTGCACGGACGTGCCGCGTCCACACCGATGCCCTGCGGCCATCACAGGCGCCTTAGCACCACGTCACGCGCTCATCCGCCACCGTTCCCACACGCGTCCAGTGCGCTCCGACACGGGGCCGTCGCGTCATGCCGTGACGGCGTCACGACGCCACCCTGCCGCTGCCTTGCGGACGTCAGCGCCGTCGGCCCGTCGCCGCTGGGACGCTGGACAGTGGCCCGGGGAGTGCCCGGGGGACGGGCCGCACGCCGGGATAGGAGCCGGGGCAGGGTGGCGCTGGTCGGCCGGCCGGACGAGGCCACGTCCGCACGATAGCCGGCGGCTCCGGCGCGGGCGACGCGCTACCGCACCAGCGGCGGCCGCGGCTGGCGCGGCGGCAGCGCCGGCAGAGCCGGCAGCGCCGCCTCGGCACCGCCGAACACCAGCCGCACGCTGGCCTCGTCGGCCAGCCGGCGGTCGCTGCACGCCTGGTCCAGCTCGGTCTTGGGCCAGGTGATGTAGTTGCGGCGCAGCGGGCCGTGGCACAGCTGGGCCAGGAACCACGTGTTGAACCACACCTGGCAGAGGCGCTCGCGAGGCCCCAGCCGCGGCCGCACCCACAGCTCCAGCTTGACATCGCCGCTGACCGGCGGCGCGGCGTCCAGCGGCAGCACGAGCGTCGTCTCGCCGCGCCGCAGCCGCGCCGGCTCGGCCGCGACCAGCCGGCAATCGGCCGCGTCCAGCTGACACTGCGTCGCGCCCGCCGGGCACTCGGCCGGCTCGGTGCGGACCCACACCTCCAGCTGCAGCGTGCCCTCCCAGCCGGCGGCGTCGCGCAGCTGCAGCGACGCCAGACGCAGCGGCACCGGACGGTACCGGCCGCCGGCGCGCTGCTCGCGAAGCAGCTGGTGGTAGTAGCGCACGTAGCGCACCTGGCTGGGGATGGTGACGCCGCGGCCGTCGGACGTGCGCTTGCGGCCGTACAGCTCGAGCGCCTGCTGGGGCCCGGCCACCTCGGCCGCGTGCAGCAGGTAGCAGCAGATCATCACGCCCGTCCGGCCCTTGCCCGCCTTGCAGTGCACGGCCACCACGTGGAGGGGGTCATGCGCCAGCCACTGCTGCACGCGCCGGCAGAACGGCTCGATCGAGCCCAGCGGCGGCGGGTTGTGGTCCTGCAGCGGCATCCGCGTCACGCGGTCGCCGAAGCGCTTCGTGTCATAGTCGCGCTCGCAGCACAGGTTGAACAAGTAGTAGTGCTCGCCGTGGCGTTCCGTCAGAAAGTCGACCACGTCCTTGGCGTCGTTGCGGTACACGGCCTCCAGCCGGTCGGCCGGGAAGCCCATGGCGATCACGCGCGGCGTGATGTACGACAGGTCCAGGTTGAAGCGGCCGTCCACCAGGCGCAGCTTGTTCTTGGAAACGAGCGTCTTGATAGCAGTGCTCATGGCGCCGCCGGGAGGGGGCCGGCGCTGGCGCGTGCGCCGCTCGCGGCAGCGGCGGCCGGAGCCCACTGCGGCCAGCGCCGGCAGGACGGCCGGCCGAACGGCCGCCGGACGCGGCCGCGATAGGCGCCGGGTCGCGCGCCCGTCACCGGCTCGGCTCGGCTCGGCTCAGGCCGCCGCCGGCCCCGCGCCCGGCCGGCTGCTGCCACCGGTCGGTGACGTCAGTCGGCCGCCGCCTCTGCAGTGCCGACCAGGCTCGGTGGGTCGGCGCCGCGGCCGGGCCACGCTTGGCAACAGAGCCCGGCTCCAGGGCGCGGGCGCCGCGGGCGCGTGGTGCGCGTGGTGCGCACCTCACCAACCCCGTCGGCTTGTTGACGGTGATGGTGGCTTCCAGATGTGCTCCGATGCGGTCGATGATATCATATTTCTACGCCGCAAAACGAAGGACTCGAATATGATGCAAAGAATAAGCGCCATCAGTTTTGCCGGGATAGGTTTGCAGACCGAAGGCCCGTTCGGTCGCACAGCGGTGGCTTCACGAACGCTAACCGCCGCCGGGCGCACCGCCGTGGGTCTCCGCGGGACTCCGGCCGCTCCGTGACGTCACCGAGCTGTCTGCCGTGACGAGCGGGGTACCTGACGCGGCGTCAGGCAACGGTGGCCTTGTGCTGTCCCACCTTTTTTTTGGGGGGGGGGGGGAAGGGCGCTGCCTCACCTTTCCTGTGTGTACTCGACATTCCTGGTTAATTCAATGTGCATAGCTAGGTGAATGCACTGTAGGCGCTCTTCCATCTGATGTGAGATCGAATATGCTGCCAGCTCAGCCAAACGTCGTGTGGCAATGACTTCTGCTATTCTAAAAACTAATCTCTAACTGGCGATGTTTGCTTCGCGATCTATGAGTCTGGCGGTACCGCTGCCTTTCCTGCATCCACTTGCACCGCAGATGGACTTTTTACGATAACTTTCAACTACGACTTTCAAGAGATGCTGATACCAGGAGATGCTGGTAAACAGACATTACGTACAAAATACTCGCGTTGAATGACCTTTTACCTCGACAGTAATACCCCATCAATAAGTCGAGTCTTTTTAGAGCGATGATTCGGACTCTCGTCTGTTTACCAGCGCGTTGAAGGTCGACCATGTCCTTGGATATGAAACATCCCACCATTGATAATGAAGCTGCTGAAGGCCCGGGACCTTAAGGCCCTTCTTGAAAACACAAACAAGCCCGCAAGCTATCTTTCACGTTTCACAATACGACATAGCGCCTCAAATTGACACAGCACATTACGCGGCAATGAAACACTTGCGCAATGTGCCGCTAGGTCCTCTGATATCCTATCCAGTGTCACGAATCAATTCTGTATATGCTCTGGCACTTCATTACGCCACACCATTAATGCTCACCTCATCCCTACGACTAAAACAATGCCGGTTGGGTGAGGGACTTCCTGTGAAAACTTAGTCGAACATGAATTTAAGGATGTAACTTTGCATCACTGCTCTCCTCTTTGCCACACGATAATGACTACGATGTCAAATCTTCGTTTGCCGGTCACGTGATAATGACGTGATTTGACGGGATATGACGTGATAACGATGTTCCATCTCCCTTTGCCGCAAGTAAATCAGCTGATGTGCGTCGGCAATATCCTTCAGGTGATTGAAAAAACCGCTTCGGGAATGCGTTAGCGGGAGGTGCTTTTTTTAACCGACGGGTTCATGCTGGCATCCGTGCTCGTTCAACCCCTATAAATCGACTACAGCGCCTTGAAATTTCGTGCTCCGTGACGCAGCGCGAGTGCGAAAGAAGACTTGTTCTCGACTGCATTGACTTCTGGGAAACTGCACTAACGATTTTACTTCCTACGTGTATGTGTAGTTGTCGATTGTTCCCACGACTATTATCGCTATTTTATCCCTGGTGCATCTGTTTTTCATCCTGACCTCCTGTTTCACACCTCACACATGAAGACGGTACTGCTGAAAAGCCATACTGAGTGGGTGGGTTTAAGAGACAATACAACACAGTGCGTCAGCGTTCTCCCTACAGATTATTGGATGAGGTTGAAGATGTTAGTTTCAGAAATGGGCGATATTGCATGTCACCTCATAAAAAGAGCTCAATATTCATACAGATGCACTTACATTTCTTATCTTTCAAAGCCTTTGTTGCTTTTGAACCCGAGGCCTTTTTCTTGACTTTCTTCTTTTTTCGTTGAGCGTCTAAAGACGTCTGTAAATAAAACGTCAGTTAGAAAAAACACTATCTGCGATGCAGCGTTGCGAAATCTAGTTTAAAACTGTACTCATATTTTCGATCACAGCCTCCAGTAAGATTCTGTCTTAATACCCACTTGCAAATTCTGTCAGCGCAAACCTTGTTCAAAGGGCAGCTTCTTTATTAAGAACTAATCCATGCATGTATGTGTGACTACATTAGTGCTTATAAACACGCAAGTTCGCGCAGCTGTTTTTATTTGCATTGGCGACAAATTCAGAACGATACACGTTTAATTACAGCAAGGCGCCTGACTCCGTAACGAATAACATGTCCTACGATAACACAGGCTTTAACATAATCTACGACAAATCGACGTAGGATATTGATGCGTTTGGCTCATGCTTGACATACCAAAACTGCTTAAACGCTAAACCTTCTGTATGATATGCTGTTCTTGCCCCGGAGCTTTTAAGTTGAGTTAGTCGAATCGTAGCTAGTTTTGCGGGGCTGCAATCTGAGTTGCGAGAGGAGACCAGCTATATGCCGATTTTTTGGCGATATGCAGGTTTTCAACGAATGCATTGGCGAAACACTGGGTCATCTTCTAAGTTGCAATCTGTGTAAGTTGCGTCTCTGAATGAATGATGGGTTTTGAAGAAAGCTCGTGAATGGCTGGAAAAAATGCGATGAGTCGAATGCCCTAAAATAGGCCACCCAAAACGCAACGCTTATGCTATGTTGAAACGCTGATTTTTCTGGCATTGGATCATGTTTGGGTGCGTTTAATTGATGAACCGTGAGGAACTGCATGTGCACTACCTGGTCTTACAATCAGTGCCTGCATGCAAATAAAGAAGCTGATGAGAAGCTGAAAGCAGAAAAGCTGAAAAAATCATTGCAGTTTCTGAAATACTCAGCTTATTGAAAACTGCGTTAAACTCATCGGCGACAAAAGACAACACAATATATCTCACTTTTAAAAGAAAACGGGAGTGCCGAAAAGAAGCATGTATGCATATTGGCAGGACCTCATAATATGTGTGCTGCACACAATGTGCATCCCTACAACTCATACCTGATCATCACAGTTCTGGATAGGTCATGTCACATGATCAGAACATCCTGCCCCGGCCGTCGCACAAACTGATCCCTTTACACAGGCAGAAATACCCTAAAATTATGAAAACGCTGCTAGCCTCCATGGTTGTATGAATACAGCACGTTCTCAGCTCCAAGAAGATTGCAGACCCATTCCGCCCATGGCATGTAACCATATGCCTTCGACTACAACAGGAGGCATCATCTTTTCCCACCAAAAAGGGAAATCCTACAGAGGGCATCATGCAATGGCATCGCATGAACAAGACAGATCACTGGTAGCCAGCATGATTTTGTCAGCATCCTGAGGCAAAATGATCCCTTCTACAGTCTGAGCCTATCTGGTGGCACTTAAGTGTAAGATCAGGGGTGGGAGCCAGTGAGGTCATTGCGTTCACCCTTTTATGGAAATCAAATATCAATAATCTGGTGGTGCATACCAAGGAGGAGCTTCAAGGAACTGAGCTGACCAACCAAACAACTTTGGGGTATGCAGAATGTTGCAAGATTTTCTCATTTATACAATATTGTTTGACACTGGTTTGCTCTGACACCATGGGGGCAGAAAAGTGATGCCATGGACAGCCAATGGACACCATGGGCAGCAAAGGGACATCACAGGACAGCAAATAGACATTGTGGCACAGCAAAGCAACACCATGGGGTCACAAATGGACATCATGGGGCAGTAAAGGGATACCATGCGGCAATAAAGGGACAAGTACACTCCTAACTTTCTCAAAATTGAGCATTTCTCCTGCTGCACTGCATGAAAAGACACATTCCAAAAAAACATGAATTTCCTGTCTCAACCTTTCACACATTAGACTACTGACAAAACCAAAGCACAGAAAACTGGGCTCAATGATTCCAGTGAACATTTGCCATGAGATCTTAAACCTAAGGCTTTGAGGCAGGCTTTTAAAGTGTGTGTTGATGCAAGCAATGTCTGGAAAGTTTGTACATACCACAGACTTCACTGCAGCAGGTGGAACCAATGGCTTTTTAGCCATTACTGGTAAAGCTGTTCAGTCAGCTGGTAGTTATTTAATGTTCACCCTGAAAAAATGCAGAGCATTTCACCCAAACTGGTAGGGTGAATGACCATTGAGCCACTGATATTAAGTTAGTGCTGGATTTGCTCACAGCATGTCATATATACAGCATCTTAAAGTAAAACATGTGGTGTGGTACTTTCAATTTAAACTGGACTCAAAATTAGATTTATACCACATCTGTCTGCATCCTCAACATGCTTGCTATGGAACTTAAGTTGCTATGGGGGCAGCACGGGTCAGATCAAGACTAAGTTGCGCTAATTATGTTTTTCCCCATATTATAAGTAAGTAATGAATGGACAACTATTCAAATCATGATTCAAAACGTGATGCACTAAGTTTTCAAGGAGCAGGTTAATGGCAATCATAGCTGACGTCCTGTAGTCATGGTGTGATTTCCTCAACCACCCTTACAACATGTAACGTCCGAACCACTATATTCCACGATGCCAAGGCAACCACATACCCCAACCCCACACCGCCGCTCGCATACATCTCTTGCGATGCTCCTCGGCCTATTTCTGTCGGCACCGTGGTGTATTTGCTATACGAAACATATTCGCCACGCTGGCTGTCAAGGTGCGCTGCAGATCCAAGAGGAAATTTTTACCATTTTTGCTACTTCTGAAACTTCTAGAAAAACAAAAGCAAGCTTAAATCTCAAGATCATGTCTCAGAGTCGTAGACTGAGCCCACTGAGCCAACCAAATAATTTAAGATCTCATACCACCTGATCATGTGGCTCTGTAAATGTAATGCAGCCACTGCTCACTGTGGTCATGCCCCTGAAGGCAAAGGTTTTGTAACACTTTACCTTTGGGCGCTTCATGTGTGTAGGCTGCCGTATTTGGCATGAGACCACTGTTTGGGTTTGATTGCCATCAAATTGCTCATACAGTGTGGTCCGTCCGAGTGCTGCGTGGTTGGATGGGGCGGACGTTTTGAGTCGGCAAAGCCAACTGTCGAGTAATTAAATATTCTGTACCATATGTGTACACGCACACCGTGTGACGGTGTAATGCGTAACGGCGAGAAGAGTCGGAAACTTAGGCACTCTGATGACTAGAGGAAGTAGTCCAAATCCGTGAGCATGCCTGCATTGATATTTCTGTCAGCCACTTGCATCTTGGATTGAAACACAGTCAGGAGCTAACATGAGATCAGTGGGTAATGAAATGCTGGCTCATGCTTAAATATTTGTTTATTGTTAGGCAATGAATTGCTTACAAGGAAGTGATCCTGCTGCCTGCTACTGGCTTCAGGTCTTATGGTTCTGCTTGCACCTCCAGTAAATTCATATTCATACTCAACCTAAGTAAGTGAGGCTCAGCATGTTAACATTGTCAGTGTTAGGTGTCAGTCAACAGGTGTCAATCACTTTTCATGTCAATCAATTTTGTCTGTTAGATATGGCAAGTGGTGTCAATCACTTTTCACATTGACCAATGTTGTGTGTTAGATATGGCATAGTATTTTGATCCATTGTGCTGTAACATCTGCTGGGAAAATTCAAGTATATATTCCTGCTATAGCTTTTTTTTCTGTGTGAGAAAAAGTTAAGGATTTGGAATGTTTCTGTCTCCAGGCTGGACATGTCTGCTGAGCTTTGGTGCGGTGTGTGCCACAGCACCAACTCCCCAGTGTGGATGTCATCCGAGCTGGTGCTCCACTCATCTCAGTTGACTGTACATGAGAGGCTATGTTTGTTGGACCATCAGCTGCAAGCACATTGCATTCTCTGCACCTCCTGCTACACCCTACTGGACCACTGGGATGAGCATGCCACTATTGCGGCAAAGAGCCAGCAGCTGCTGAAGCAGCGTATCAATGGAGACCAAGCCAGCAAGGTAGGTGTATGGGCAATCTGGGAATGTCAAAAAGGGTGAATTTTGGAGAGCTATGCATTACCCAGGCATTGTGTATCTGAGTAAGTAAACACTAACAGTGTGGTTTGCTGGCAGGTACTTATTTTGGATACCACTGGAGGTGTATTACCTGCCAGAACTCCATCCTCTGCATTCATTGATGGCATTGGTGGCAATTCTGCTGGAATGGTGCCTGACCAGTCAAAGGAGTGCACTGAGAACAGGCAGCAGACACCTCCAGACACGTGCCTGGCGGAAGTGGGTGGAGCTGACCCATCTGGGACAGAGGAGTGTGGTCCAGACTCGGACGGCGCCGAACACTGCGCACCAGACCCCGTCGGTCCGAGCGGAGGGGCCACGAAGCGAACAGCAGAAGCGAATGTGACAGTTCCGCCAGCAGCGGGACCGGCGGAAGCGACCGTGACAGATCCTTCCGTGACGGTCGCGAAGGCAGGTGCTTTAGCGACGGACGCGAGCGTGACAGCAGTGAGGACAGACCCGCCGGTGCCGCGTGTCAGTGCTGCAGACTCGGCAGTGACGAAAGTGGGTGCGCCGCAGAAGGCCGCGTTGGACGGGGTGGTGCGCCCGTTGCGCGGCTCGGGCGACGGCGCTCCGGCCAGCGCCGCCCGTCACGCCTGTCACGTGTGCCAGAAGCGGTTCGCGCGACGCGACTCCCTGCAGACCCACCTAGCGGCGCACGCCGGCACTAAAGCTTACGCGTGCGGCGAGTGCGGCGTGCAGTTTCAGTACCGGGACGGCCTTATGGTGCACCGTCGCCGGCGGCACGGCCAGAGCCGGCTGCGCTGCCCGCACTGCCCGCGTGAATTCGACAAGAGCTGCAACTACAAGCGCCACCTGCGTGTGCACACGGGCGAGCGACCGTTCCGTTGCCAGCTTTGCAGCAAGGCCTTCTCACAGAGCAACGGGCTCAAGAAGCACGTGCGCAGCCAGCATTAGCCGGGCGGGAGACTCCTGTGGATTGCCACTCCCCCGCCCGCTGTAGCCGGGCGGGGGAGAAGCGATCCACAGGGCGTCTGGGGGAGGGGTGGCGTCTCCCTACGCGGTAATGCGACGTGCCTCAGGCTGTGTTTGACGATGTTTGTGTAAACGTGTCCATCGGAGTTGGGAGATTATTTTGGAAAGTGCATGATACAACTCCTGAAAAGTCGCCTCCCACCTGCAAGTGAACATCTGTAAAACCTCGGGACACATCTGGCAGGCATCAGCCTGTGCGTTTTGGCGATTAATGCGGTGGTGCTGTGTTCGTCACGCGTTGTAGTCTCCCGCGATACTGCGCCGTTGTTGTTTGAAACTCGCTGCTGGGCAGGCCGTCCAAAGTCACGCGGCATCTGGCCCGATGAAGGGCCGTATTGCGACTGCCGGGCTTATTAGCTCAGGGCGTAGTTTCGCAAAATAAGTTGGGGGAGGGTTGAGCAATGAATAATAATGCATTCTGACTCAGAATGCTTCAACAAACGGGTTTCCCTGGATTTGGCCCACTTCCCCGTCAAAGTTTGGGGAACGGCTGGAGCACAAGTTAGGGGGAGGGCTGAAGCACTCCTTCCCCAAATGAATAGAAAACGCATCCCTGTTTTACTTTCCTACAAAATGAAAAACTCAGATTCTGGCCACTTTGTTTTTAGAAGGCTCGTTATTCCAGAATTGTGTGAAAAGTGGTGAGCCTCCGAAAAAAATGATATTCTTCCTCCAACGGGACAGCTATGACCTTGCACTTGCCCCACTAGACCCCCGCCTGGCTGCTGGGTCGCAATAAATGCGTGCTTTTATGCCGCGGTCGTATGTGAGAAGTTCGTTCGGGATCATGTGAGTATCCTCCAAAGAATTGGTATGCTCCCAGCCCCCAGCTCTCAAATGCGGAAGGCACAAATGTGGCGCGATTTCCGTTTCCTATTGACGAGAGGGGCGCGAGAAATACGGTTTACGTCACTCAACATATCGCACGACTTCGACTCACACCTGGATCCCCTCTGACAGCCTCAGCTGCTCCCGCTGTGGAAGATATGAACAGTTTCACTGCGAGCTTGTCACGCGCTTCTCTGTCACGCTGCATGGACCCGTAACCCTGCTGCACGAAGGTGACTAGCTGTTTTTGTTCGCCGCTTAGCTCCCTTGCTTCAGTATACGGCGCAGGGTTCGTCACTTATTGTAAGCCGGTGGGAAGACTCGACGGGCCCAACTTTTATTTGGTCTCCTTGGCGCCAGCACCTGGCTGGCCGCTACGGCCTAACAAGTAACATCGTGGTGAGGCATGCCGACATTACTGACGGTAACCCAGAAACATGCTAATGTTTGTGTTGGCTCATTGGCCAAATGTTTCGCATGTTTAACGATGACTGGTGAGCAATTTAGCCATGATAACGTTGGCCATGTTTCTTGAATGTAGCTTGAATGTTACATTAACGCACTGAACAAGGTACAGAGATGCTGCTCGCCGCAGAGGCCCGTTGTCCATGTGAATGTTCAGACAAAATGTCGCAAAGCTGGCAATGAAATGCCATCACTTATTTCTTAATGACGGATGGATATGACATGACGCTCAGAGGGAATGGCCGCTGGAAGTATTCGTAAGCGATTATATGAGTCGCATTTAATATTACTCTGATAAATGCATCTACGGGAACAACCGGCGGCGGATCTGGTGGGAAATCGCGAGATTGTGGCTACTCGGTTCGAGGTAAAATACTCCTTTTCAGTAGTTCGTTGTTTTGCAGACAAATTCTTAATGGCGAGCCTTTTACAAACAAAATGACTGGCCTGACGTGTTTTGTGTTGTAGGGTCAAAGCGCGGTGGTCGCGATACGACGCTTTATCGGACCAGGTCCTTCCTGACCCTGGATGACCCCTCCTTGGTGTTCCCTTGACCCCGCCACTACCCACACCGTCATTCCAGTCGCCCAGCGTGGAGGGGGGGCTTGTCGAGATGGGGGCACAAACGGGACAGGCGCAGCATTTCGGGAGACCGCCCGACGCCAGCGGCGGTGCTTCGTTAGCGCCGAGACGCGCTCGCCTGTGCCGGTCACATGTAGCTCGAGTTTTACACACGTTCGTTTGAAGTTGTGAGGCGCGTTTTGGATAGTTGTACCTCGCACGTTCTGAGGAGGCAATTGTTGCTCCGCTGTAGTGTCTGTCTTGCTCTTATAGTGTTTTTTGTTCATAAATGATCTGAAATGTGAGTCATTGCTTGAAGATTATAGTTATTACGTGGTGCATTAGTGCATGTAGCTCTTGTCATTCCCGGCGGGTGCATACGTGTCGTGCCTTAATGTATAATTGCTGCTGGCCGCTGGATGATAACAACTTGCCGCAGGTGGCTGTAGTCTGCGTGATGTCACTTTGAACTTGACCCGCGGCGGTTTCGAATGTGGATCCTCGGCCCTCCAGTTACGGTGCAGGCAGACTGGTCTGCAGCGGCCGGGTGCTCATTTTCTGTGCAGGTGGTACACCGCGGCAGCCATTTTCAGCTGCATCCTGCCAACATTCAGCGACGCGGGCTGTTGTTTTTTACACTGTATATTTGAGTTAAGTGCATTTCGTACTAGTTATGTGCCACCATGGAGCTATTCAGCATTGAGCTGAGGTAGCGTGACATCATCTTACCCGCCACCGTGAAAAATAGCGCACATTTTGCTCAGTTGAGTTCAACGTTGTGGACGCAAAATGACCATTGTGGTCGACACGCCCTAAAACATCAACAAACAACGAAATGTCCGGCTAAGTCCGGTTCAGTGTCTTGCGGTTTCATTTTCGAGGAGCTTCCGGCTTTTCATAAACGGAAGGCCAAATGCGAGTGAATCGACACGCGAAGGAAAAGCATGCAGCCGACGCCCGAGTTCCAGAAGTAATGGCACAGACACAGCGTGCGATTGGTCGCAACCTCTTCTGAGCAGCAGGTTTACGAGGTCCACATTAAACTGGTTCACATTCCTCGTGTTCTGCACGGCCGGTGGCGGGCGACTGAACAAGTCCATCGATCGGTACTTGCTGGATATGCTGGATGATGGTATATTCTCGCTGAGCAACGCTTGCATTTCTGTTTAATTCAACCTGCCTTCAGCTTGATTACCTGCAGTGAATGAAGACTGTGTGTAGCAGATAGAGCATCACACACGTTGAAATAGTTATGACTTTCAACTGTCGCCTTGAAAGATGCGTATTCTGATGGCTTTGCGACCCCCGCTGGTCCTGGCGTTCTCCACCACTGATGATTGTGTTCAGATAAGGTTCATTTCAGATGGAATCATTGTCCAGTTCATCGCCCACGCCTGGTGTGTCAGTGTGTACAGATGACGCACGCGTGAGCAGGCCAACACACCAGACGAGAACGACAATTTTAACAAGCCTTTCATCCGGGATATTACAACTCCGGCTCTGTCCTTCTGTAAGACCGTAGTGTTTATTTCAGTCCACCATAATGCTGAATGTTGCGCTCAGTGCTTGCCAACTCTGTGGGACGATCTCCTCGTCTGCAATGCCGGCGCACTGGTGCATTTCCTCGGACGCATTCGGCAGTGCACTAGGCCCGTAACTGCTGGCTCTGTCGACATCAGCCCGGTGGCCTGGTGCGACATCCCGGACGTACGGGCAGTGACCGCTAGGCCCGTCACTGCTGGCTCTGTCAACATCATCCCGGTGACCTGGTGCGACATCCCGGACGCACGGGCAGTGACCGCTAGGCCCGCCATTGCTGGCTCTGTCAACATCAGCCCGGTGACCTGGTGCGACATCCCGGACGTACGGGCAGTGACCGCTAGGCCCGCCACTGCTGGCTCTGTCGACATCAGCCCGGTGACCTGGTGCGACATCCCGGACGCATGGGCAGTGACCCCGACTCTTTAGAGCGTAACAGATCGGTGATCGGTCAGTGTCACCAGCGGTGGCGACGGGCGTGGACGCCACGCGGGAACAACCGAATGTAAACGCGCCCTCTAACTGAGGGCTGCTCGCGTGTACCTACGTGTGGGCGGCATCGTCAGGGGGGGGGGGGGGTCCGCACAGGCCTGATGCAGGCGACGGGGCGGGTTGGCCCGATACAGATGACGTCATCGCCGGAGATATGACGTCACGTCACGCTGTGGATGAGCGGGGCGTGCGTGACAGGTGTTTCCTCACACGACGTATGAAGGCTGGAGATGATCCGCCTCATCTGGCACGGCCCGGGTGCAGTCACCGGCAGAGGACCACGGTCACCTCCGCCTGCGCGACGTCGTCGCCCCAGCTGGCCTGGCACAGGTACAGCCCCGCGTCCTCCGACGTCAGTGCGGCGATCTGAAGCTTCTGGTGACCCGCCCCCACCTGAGGGGCCGAAGATCGCCGTCATCGCCAACACAGGTGCAGTGAGAGGACAGCGTCGGTCTCGACACAGACAGGCACATCCGTCCCTGCAGCTCATGCATAGCATATCGCGCGGCCGCGTGCGTGGTGTCGCAAGACGAGGCTCGTGGTGATTGGGGGCAGATTACCATTCTCACCGGAGATCCGCGTGGCGTAACCGCGGTGATTTTACACCCGCTCCCACGCGGCCATAGGCGAGCTGTGTTTTTAGCTAATGCTCCCCGAACGCGCAGGATGATGCGACGTCCACTTATGAGTTATGACTTATGCATCAGATCTGTGATCTGTTGCGAAACAGCCTTGGCAGCAAAAAGAGACACCCTCCCTCCCCCCCCCCCGCCCATCGGCACTCGCAGCTGTTACTTGTATGGATACGACCAACTGAAGTGGCTGACGTGGCGTTGGGCTTACTTGGTTTTGCTTAGAAAGAGGGACTTGTGCCTCCTGGCGCGATCTAGGCCGTTGATGGGTTGAGGATTGCTTCCACTCAGATGGCTGAGCATTGCCTCTACTCAGATGGTTGAGGGCTGCCCCTACTCAGATGGCTTAGGATTGCTTCTACTCAGATATGGCCTGGGGGCACTCCGGTATTAGATGAGGGCCTTAAACTACGTCCACCGCTGTAACAGAACTCACCCTTTGGACGCGAACCCCCTTTGCGGGGTTGTAGGTCCTTCCATTGAGCGCCAGCAGCTCGTCTCTGACGATGCCGTCCTTGTAGTCGAAGTGCCGCTTCGCCCACCAGAACCTCTGTCGAGAAGTCACAACGCTACACTAGCACAGCTTTCGGACGCCGAGCACTGCGGCCCGCTGTTCTCTGCAGGCAGCTGTGACCTCGCGTTTGGCTTGGTCCTGTCTCGATCCTGTGCTGACCCTGTGCTTTGTCCCGGTTCTGTGCTTTGTCCCGATCCTGTGCTCTGCGTCGGTCCTGTGCTCTGTCCTGATCCCGTGCTCTATCTCGGTCCTGTGCTCTGACCCGGGCCTGTGTTCTACGCCTGTCTTGTCTTTTATCCAGGCCCTGTGTTCTGCCCCGGCACTGTACCCTGTTTCTGTCCTGTGATCTACCTCAGTCCCGTTTTATGTCTCGTCCGGTGACCTCTGCCCTGTAACCTGCGTCGGTCCTGCCACCGTCCCTGGGACGACCGCTGGCGTCCGTGTGTGGCCCGTCTGGTGTTCCCAGCGGCCCGGTCGTGGCTTCCGCACCTGGATCTGAGCGCCGCCGGGGGGCGCGTCCACCTGACACTCGAGCGTGAGGCGGCGCCCCAGCTTGGGGCAGGTCTTCGGCTCGCTCCGCAGCCGGCCGCCGAACGGGCCTCCACCTGGGGCGAGACAGGTGCATGGGTGTCGTTTCCATGACGACAGAGACTTGGCTGGCAGTGAGTGTTGAGTTCGACCTCTCTGTCATCAGTTCGAAACTCGGCGCCGGAGGCACACGCGGCGCACTAGCGTAGCCAAATTTATACTCTGGTTACTATAAGGGTTATCTTTAGAGATTTTCGAGTAAAACTCGATGATCGACATCAACCGTGCCTGCTAAGACTAGCTAAAACTGTTCTTAACACGGGCCCGCCTTGTTCTTTTTGCGAACGATATTTGATCTATACTTACCACAACGCAGTCAAAATATCTAAGCTTAGCACGTGCAGGCCCATTGAGCTTACCTTGAACATCGTTGCCGTTGATCTGCAGTTCGTCTCGCTCAGCGGAGGCAAGCTTCAAAGACGTTGCAACGTCTCCCAAAGAAGAAGACTGGATGCGTGTCTTATCCTTGCCCCTTTCACGGCTCAGAATAGTGTTGGTACCAATGACGTCGTTGTCGTAGTAGATGGTGGCAGTGTCGTTACCGATGCCATGCTGAGATGTGTTGGCTGTGATGGGATGTGCCGTCAGCGTCTGTGAACGATCACCCGGCAGCAGCTGTGACAGCTCTGGCCTGGCTTCAGAGCTGCCACCAGGCGTCGCTGCTATCGCCGGCTCCCGCACTGCGTCGTCGCCGACCGGGAGGAGCGACCTCAGGCGTCCCCGCCTGTCAGGAGCGAGGCCCCGAGAGCCGCCGTCGGGGAGGCTGCCAGTCGCCTGCGACGGCGCCGGAGGCTCCGCTCGCCCCCTGTCCGAGCCGGGCCCAGTGATGATCCTGACGCCGGTCGGTGCCAGACGGAGCAAGGGTCGCCGGCCGCTGCCGCCGGCCGCCTCAGCCCGCTCGGCGCCGTTTCCTCCGGCAGGGAGGCGCCGCGGAGGGGACGGCAGTCCACCGCGTGTCGGCGGCGGTGGCGGCGGCGGCGCCCTGCTCACTGCGGGCGGGGAGTCGCTCGGAAGGCGGACTGCCGCCGTTTGGAACCGCACCGCTGACGTGGTCGGCCGACTGAAGTCACGTCCGACCGGATCAGCTCTCACCAAACCGGCGGCGCCGGCTGCCTGCCCGCGTCCAGCGCCTCCCGTCGGAGGAGCGTCCTGTCTGGGCGGGGCGCGCGCGCCGGCGCTGACCCACCGCCAGACCGGGGCCGCGCCGGGGCCGGCCGGTGTGCCGGGGAACAGGACGCGCCCGGCCGGACGGCAAGCCGGCGCCCAGAGTAGCACCGCCAGCGCGGCGGCCCACAGCGGCGGCCGGCGCATCGCGGTGAGCTGACCGGAGCGGGCGGCGGCGCGGTCGGCTCTCGCAGGGCGAGTGGATAGTGTCGCGCCGGGCGGCGGTTCGCTCGCGTGCTGTCCGGACTGGTCCGAACCGGGCTGTGGCGTCACACAGGCTCCGGGGCCGGTCTGGTGACCCCTGGGCGGCGGTGAGGTGACGCAGCCCCACAGGCGGTGCAGCCGTACCTGCGAAAAATGCGAGCCTCACGCGTTTGATGGGTTTGCGACTTAGAATTGGTCGAGACCGGAAGGCTCATGGTCACACTGACGCTGTTCAGACCCGGCAACTGCAGATACCGTGAATCAGAAATCACCAGAATATTGCCACCACGCCGGAAGCACGCCTTAAAGTCGAGCAGTACGCCGATGTTGCAATGTACTGTGGTCGCATCCTGTCAGTTACTTTTTAGGTTTGGATATCGTATTGGCGAATGAATCGGCATAAGGTGGGAATGTGTAGCGAACGCACATGGCACATAACATCCAGTGTATCCTTTATGACACATAACGTCCATAACGTCCTTTATGACACCACGTTTAATGGGACGTGGCAGCCGACCGGTACATGCCATGCAAGTAAACGAAGGCAAGGAAATTACACTCCACGTTTTGGGCAAAACCGGAGTTCAAAGTTGTTGGGAACGAGAAGAAGAATTTCTGTCCTTTTGTTCGCGAACTATTTGCCAACCTTGTTTTTTTTCTAACGACGCACTAGGAAGGTGGTCTCGCATCCGCGCGTCAAATTGCACATTATATCCGTCATCTACCCCTATCCGCGAACCAAACACGGCTGACCGGGTGGGACCTGCACTGAAGCGGGCGGACCACGAGCCCGACAGGCGTAGTTTACCCGGATCTGCCCGCAGGCTCACGTCAGCCCATAACCTCCAAAGATCCCTGGCCACGCTCTACCGCGCGACCCCCGCACCCAAACACGGCCTGTGTTCGCGCCCGTCCTCGCCACTGACCTGCCTCTGGCCTGTCCGGGTTCCGGAGCCGCCGCCGCCGTGTGGCACACTCGCACCGCTGCCGGGTCCGGGACCCGTGACCTTCCGCCCCGTCCAATTCAGCACTTTCTACGGCCGGCGGTTCGGCGCGGCGACGGGAGACGCGCACCGGGCGGTGGCGCAACATCGCGGGGCGGTCGTCCTCCCGACTCATGGCAATAAGGCGGGAGGACGGCTGGCGCCCCTTCCTATCACCGTGCGCGCTCGGTGATAGGAAAGGGCGCACCCCCGGGGCGTCAACTGGCCACGCCTGTTCGCCGGTGGACGCTGGCGCGCGCCTCCCCGTGGCTGGACGGCCGCGGGCGCCCGGCCCTTCGTGGTAGGTCACCGAGAGGACGCCTCAGTAGGTCAGCAGAGGATTGTGAGGACGTCCCGGTCAGCACGAGCAGCCCACTGCTGCTGGTGTCGATGACGCGGTCCTCGACAGCCGTCCAAAAGGGTTCACTGCTCCGCATCTGCATAGCGAGTCATTGTATCTCCATGCCTCATCCATCACTCCTGTCGTGTTTCGTTTGTTATGAGTGGGCTGGTCGGATGACTTGATTATATGTTAACAGTGGGTGGCTGTAGGAGCTACAGACAAGGCTCGCATGCAGGACAAATGGACTTCCATACACACACACCATCTGTGTGTATGCTTAATATTTGGTATAGAAGATTGCAGAGCATGTTCCCACCTTATTTCCAGGTGAGCAGGTTCCTAATTGATTCAGACAAGAACTATATTCGGATCACATGTATTATGTCAGCTTCGGCGCAGCTTTATCCACGGCATGGCATTCTTACGGCCATGGGCATGGCAGGCGCGATTGCACCATTCAACTGAAATAAGTTAACAACATGCCGCCCCTGGCCAGCGCTGTTAAGTGTTCGCAAATTTAAGGCATTAAAATGACCATCGGAAAGGAAACTCACTTATACAACTGTGACCGTGAACGTCGCTTCATTCTTGTCATGCTCTGACTGTTCTATGATAGCAGTCTGATATACGGATATCCCCGCTACGATGTGGACGCCAACGTTCTTAGAAGAAAGCAACCATTTGCATTAAATAAAGGATCACTGCAGTGTCCGCTGCAGACTACGTCCGCTCGCCCCGGCATTCCGACCGTCTCCGCCGCCGTATGGAGGCAGGCCAGTTACGCAGGTGCGTACTGCGCGTGTCCACTTATCCTTTCGCATGGCTCAGGCCCGTTCCCAGCGCTTCATCTTGACGAGCGTCCAAAGCCACTGCCTCCTGATGAGTGTCCACTTCGTCCACCTCCTGACGAGTATCCACTTCCTCCGCCTCCTCCTGACGAGCACCCACTTCCTCCGCCTCCACCTGACCAGTGTCCACTTCCTTCACCTCCTGACGAGTGTCCACTTCCTCCACCTCCTCCTGACCATTGTCCACTTCCTCCACCTCCTGACGAGTGTCCACTTCCTCCACCTCCTGATGAGTGTCCACTTCCCCCACCTCCTGACGAGTGTCCACTTCCTCCACCTCCTGACGAGTGTCCACTTCCTCCACCTCCTCCTGACCAGTGTCCACTTCCCCCACCTCCTCCCGACGAATGTCCACTTCCACCACCTCCCGTTGAGTATGACAATGACGACTGTTCACCACCCATCGTCCCGCATCAAGAGGCCTCTGAAAACACAGCTTACAATCTTAGGATCATAAAATGTGCATGCAATAATCAAGTCTCCACCCGTTCGGAATGCTGCGCGCATCGACAAAAATAGCCCACGCGTATTTCCCCACTCGAGACATCACGGGTAGGCCAGGATTCCATGTTAAGCTCATCGCACAAAGCTCCCGAAGCCCGCGGCAAAGGAGGGCACCGGCACGAGTTCAAGGCACGGTTTCCATGACGACGGATGCTGCTGCCCTCCGCCACCCCCATGGGCTCGCTCTCGTCACGTCGTGTGTTACCTGTGTGAGGCGTGGCCGCCGCCGCGTTGCGCGTGCCGTCCGGGCGAGCGAGTCAGGAGCAGTGCGACGCCAGCTCGAGTCCGGTCCCACACGGCGGGCGGATATCGGCCACTCGATCGCGATCTGACTCACCATCACACCACCGCCCGGGCTTTGCAGTAGACATGGCGAGCGCCGGGCCAGGCGCCGCATGTAGGTGCAGCGGAGGTGGCCAGCGTGGCCCCGCCGTTTCCGACTCAGCTGGACCGCTGGGCACGCCGGCTGTTGTGTGCGTTTGACGTCGGCATTCGCGCGCTTTCTGGGGGGTGACGTACGCTTCAAGGGGTTCGCAACGTCCGTAGTGGCTTCCGCGCGCCTTCTGGGGGGAAGGCGTGACTTAAGCTTCAAGAGGTTTGCGACGCCCGTAGTGGCTGGTGAGTTCATCGTCCGCAGACGATTGCGTCACGGGTCGACATCCGAGCCATGACGGCAGCGAGGACCGCAGGAAGTGGTGCACGGCTAACGGGTAAGCCAGCCGCCAGTTGACGCTCACTATCAGCGACCCGTCTCAGCTCGACGGCGAAAAACTTCAGACCGCATGCCTCGATATCAGCGCGGCAACCTCCAGCAGCGTGTACAGACATGCTCCCATCAGTGATATCCGCCAGCGAGGCGCAGCGCGACTGCAATCATCGCGGAAACACACCAGATCCGGAGCGCTGCTCTCGCGAGCCGCGTGCAAACGCCCGCGGGCGCGTCGTGGGTCTGCTGTCCGCGCAGGCGCGTGAGCGACGCCCAGCTCGAAATGTGCAGAACGCGATAGGGGCACATGCGCCGACACGGGCCCGGCCGGCCTGCGCGTCTCATGTCGGGCTGCCACGGACGGGCCGCGGGAGAGGCTCAGACCATCGCGAGGCAGGTTAGATTTGCCCTACTGTGGCCTTTCTCACAAAGAGTTGTTACAAATAGTTTGTGTCTGTAAGTTGCAATTGAGAATTTACAAACTACAACTTACAACTGTTTCATAGAACTAGCGCGGGTTGTAGAATTGCAGTCGTAAAACTCCGCGCGGTGTGTAATTTGTCGCCGCCTATCAGCGGCGTTGCCAAGGACGCTTAACAAGTACGCCTGACCGGCTTTTTAGCACGCCATACGCCCAACGTTGACGTGACGTCACTGAAGTCCTGAAACAGCGAGAGCAGCGCACAGCCCCGCATCATGCAGATTACGATCTGGATATTTGCGTTTCCGTTGGTCACAGCTGCATTGCATGGCAAATTTGCTGGGAAAAGGCACTTTCTTCCTTCCGTCCCTAAAAGTGCGTTGCGTTATCAAACGATTAGTTCGGTGCAAATTCGGTAAACCTGGCCTAAATTGTAGCGCTCATACTGGGCGGAACGTTGCTGTCACTGTATGCAGTCAGGCTCACGCAGTCGGGCTCGCCGTTCTCGCTGTCCCCGCTCCTTCCGGCGCCGATTTCTGCGTCACCCGTGTGCACGTGCCCAGGGTCGCACCCAAAATCCTGGTGCAGCAGGAGTGACACAGGGCTTTATGAAAGGCCCCTGGCGAAAGTTTCTAAGTTTTGAGCGGGCACCAAAGATTCCTTTTCTTTCGTTTCTGTTTTTATCCACTTATTCCGACGGGCGTGTTAATGAAGGGTCCATGAAGGGACACTGACAACACATACTTGTTCCATGACACAGGGCACCAGTGACGTCATTGCCCTGTGCTGAGTCGCGCGGGATTCCACCAATAGGATATCCAATGATGTCCCCCTCCAGTGTTTCACCCGCCAGCTGACGTTGGCAATGTCCGACGAGCGCAGAAAAAAACAAGTCATGCTGTGGATCATCATAAATACTGCGGTTTGTAAACAAAAACAAAATAAATGTATCGGAAGTGTCAAGAAACGGAACATTAGGTTCCCCAATGTCAGCAATCAAGTACATTTGTCATTATATTCACCGTGCGTCTTACACAGAATATTGGTACCGTCATGGCAACCAGCGAAACAGTGACTTAGTGAACCAGCATAATACTAGTGTTCTCTTACCATGATAGACACCTATATTCTACTCACA